TCTAATGCTGCGACCCCATAATACAGTTCCCCATGTTGTGGTGACCCCCAACCACTTATACATCACCAGGTGCCAGGGATGTGGCCAAAGAAAAGGGGAAAAAAATGGCGGACAGCCTTGTTTGGTGACCCATGTGAAATGGTCATTCGACACCAAATGGGGTCCCGACCCACAGGTTGAGAACCACTGCTATAGAGCAATGCTAGTTATAGTATGCACATACACTGGATGGCCGGAGTGCATCCCAACAAGGACAAAAAAAAAGCAACTGCGGTCGCAAAAGCCTTGCTCCACATTATTATTCCCCGGTATGGGCTGCCATCTAGAATCTCTTCAGACAATGGTCCTGAATTTATCCATAGAGCCACCCAAAAGATAGCTGCTATGTTAGGAATAACATGAAGCTTCACTGCAATTTCCATGCTCAGTCGGGAGGAAGGGTGGAGAGGATGGATAAAACCATTAAGGAAAAGTTGGCAAAAATATGTCAGGAAACCCAGTTCAAGTGGCCAGACGCTTTAAACATGGCCCTGGTTGCAGTTCGGTGTGCCCCACAAAGGGGGCTGCTTATATCACCGTTTGAATTATTATATGGCAGAGTCCCTAACTTACTCAGGCCAAATGTGCAGAACACTGGACAGGTGGCAGATACTATCAAATTGAGACAGCTGCAAGCTCTTAACACAGTAGTCCAGCAGTTACAACAGTACGTCTTGACCCAAAGGCCCCACGTCTTGATTACACCTACGCATAATATACAACCGGGACAGGAGGTCTGGGTGAAGGACTGGAAAAGGGAAGTTTTAAGCCCTAAGTGGAAAGGGCTGTATATTGTTGTTATGTGTTCTCCCCTTGCTATTAAGGTGGCTGAAATCAAATCGTGGATCCATTGGTCCCGAGTTAAATTGGCTGCCCCTGCCCAGTGGTCAGTGAGAAGTCACCCGGCTCAACCACTGAAGCTGACAGTCTGTAGGCTAAGAAGGAGCCCCTCCCTTTCTGGTGACATCCCAGAAGCTGTCCCCCTGTGAACGGGAGAGGTGAAGAAAACCCCTGCAGGTGTTACTCCAGAGGCTAACACCCTTCGCACAAAATGAGTTTTCCTGAGTTTAGAACTTCTTCACTCTTGATCAAAGTTGTTCCACTGAGACCTTGAAGTGGTCAACAGTGCTGTTATATTGTATGTTAGTTGTGTGTCCTTGGTGCTCTCTGAGCTTGGTGGCTTTCTTGGAGACATTTCATTCAGTGCACTGATGATGTTACCTAGTTTGGTAATGAAATATCTGCAAGAAAACCACCAACCTCTGATAGCAACAAGGACCCCACAATTAACACACAATATAACAAGCATTGTTGGCTACTTGAAGGTTTCGGGTGAAACAAATTTGATCAAGAGTGAAGAAGCTCTAACTCAGGAAAACTCATTTCACTTTCAATCCAGAGTTACAAATATTCTCTTCTATGCATTTTTATTGTCTCTCTTTCAGACTAATCATTTCCATCTCCTTCAGTTGTGACTATGGTGCTGGAGAAGACTCCTGCAAGTCCCCTGGACTGCAAGGCAATCAAACCAGTCAGTCCTAGAGGAGATCAACCCTGACTGCTCTTTAGAAGGCCAGATCCTGAAGTTGAAACTCAAGTACTTTGGCCACCTAATGAGAAGGAAGGACTCACTGGAGAAAAGCCTAATGCTGGGAAAGATTGAGGGCAATAGAAGAAGGGGACGACAGAGAATGGGGTGGCTGGATGGAGTCACTGAAGCAGTAGGTGTGAACTTAAATGGACTCCAGAAGATGGTAGAGGACAGGAAGACTTGAAGGAACGTTGTCCATGGGGTTGCAATGGGTCAGACAAGACTTTGCAACTAACAACAACAACAACAATACTTAAGAAGAACTTTAGAAATTAAATATAAGGAACGGTTGCGAGAATTGGGTATGTCTAGTTTAACGAAGAGAAGGACAAGGGGGGACATGATAGCAGTATTCCAATATCTCAGGGGCTGCCATAAAGAAGAGGGAATTAAGCTATTTTCCAAAGCACCTGAAGGCAGGACAAGAAGCAACGGGTGGAAACTCATCAAGGAGAGAAGCAACCTAGAACTAAGGAGAAACTTCCTGACAGTGAGAACAATTAATCAGTGGAACAGCTTGCCTCCATAAGCAGTAAATGCTCCAACACTGGAAGTTTTTAAGAAGAGACTGGACAGCCATTTGTCCGAAATGGTGTAGGGTTTCCTGCCCGAGCAGGGGGTTGGACTAGATGACCTCCAAGGTCCCTTCCAACTTTACTACTATTACTATTACTAAATTATTTTTATTTAAACAACCCATCAAGAAATCCTTAAAGACAGAAATTAAATAAGGAATGAAACCTAGGAAAAAAATATTTTGGAAATGAAAACCCATAGATTGGGATTAGGGACAGCTGCAGTGAGGTGGGTGTCAAATAAGAGAAGATGGTGTCCATAGCTACAACATTGAAGTTTTCTCTCACAAACATACACACAAAACACAAAAATGTTTTTTTGCCTGAAAAAAAAGAAGGTGGGATATTAATCTGCAACTCTGGAAGAAACTCCATTTCTTCCAGGTGCTCAATCTGGGAGCAGGGTAAATACACTTGTAATCCTAAAAAGAGATACAATATTTTAGTCAGAATAATAGAATAACAGAGTTGGAAGGGACCTTGGAGGTCTTCTAGTTCAACCCCCTGTTCAAGCAAAAGGCTCTGTAGTACCATTTCAGATAGAAGGTTGTCCAATCTCTTCTTAAAAATCTTCAGTGTTGGTGCATCCACAATGTCTGGAGGCAAGTCATTCTACTGATTAATTGTTCCATCAGGAAATTTCTCCTTAGTTCTATGTTGCTTCTCTCTTTGATTAGTTTCCAACCATTGCTTCTTGTTCTGCCTTCTGGTGCTTTGGAGAATAGATTGACCCCCTCTTCTTTGTGGCAGCCCCTGAGATATTGGAAGACTGCTACCATTGTCACCCATAGTCCTTCTCTTCATTAAAGACAGGCTTAAGATACAGAAGGATCTGGACAGACTTGAACACTGGGCACTAACTAACAAAATGAAATTCAATGGTGAAAAAAGCAAGGTTCTACATTTAGGCAAGAAAAACCAAATGCACAAGTACAGCATAGGTGTCACCATGCTCAATAGTAGTAACTGTGAGAGGGACCTCGGAGTCCTATTAGACAATCACTTAAATATGAGCCAGCAGTGTGCTGCAGCTGCCAAAAAGGCCAACACAGTGCTAGGCTGCATTAACAGAGGGATAGAATCAAGATCACGTGAAGTATTAATACCACTCTTCAATGCCTTGGTAAGGCCACACTTGGAATACTGCATCCAGTTTTGGTCACCACGATGTAAAAAAGATGTTGAGACTCTAGAAAGAGTACAGAGAAGAGCACCAAAGATGATTAGGGGACTGGAGGCTAAAACATATAAGGAACGGTTGCTAGAATTGGTTATGTCTAGTTTAACGAAGAGAAGGACAAGGGGGGACATGATAGCAGTATTCCAATATCTCAGGGGCTGCCATAAAGAAGAGGGAATTAAGCTATTTTCCAAAGCACCTGAAGGCAGGACAAGAAGCAACGGGTGGAAACTAATCAAGGAGAGAAGCAACCTAGAACTAAGGAGAAACTTCCTGACAGTGAGAACAATTAATCAGTAGAACAGCCTGCCTCCAGAAGCAGTAAATGCTCCAATACTGGAAGTTTTTAAGAAGAGACTGAACAGCCTTTTGTCTGAAATGGTATAGGATTTCCTGCCTGAGCAGGGGGTTGGACTAGATGACCTCCAAGGTCCCTTCCAACTTTACTACTATTTCTATTACTAAACTAGGCATACCCAATTCCTGCAACCATTCTTTGTATGTTTTAGCCTCCCATCCCCTAATCATCTTTGACATTCCCATTCCATATGGCAGAGAGGTCTAGAGAGCATCCTGAAGAAGTTATGCAACAGCTGTTACGAAAAACAAAACCATCTTATTCGGAAGGGAGAAGATAAGGAAGAAACTCAAGATTCTCCTGAGGAAAATCTTCTGTGATTATACCCTGTAACAATAAGAGTTGAGTTACAATGCTCCTTATGGGGTCCACTTCCCAACCTGGTCTACCCTGAAGTGTTAACATATATTTGTGTATAAAAATATTTACATAAACAGGAATCATTCATTTGGAATCATTTTACTAATACATAATTATGGGGTTCGTATTTATTATTTGATCAATAGCCCCTGGTTGGTTGGTTGGTTTTTGCTCATTTTACTGTCTATTAGATTATTTTAGTCTGGGCTGTCTGATTGAATTTAACATTCTTCATTGTTTTTATGTTTTCTCTGATTTTGTACACTACAGTAATCAGAGTCCACCAGAGTTGGCAGCCAATCCATTGCATTTAAATAAATAATAATCAAAGGCAAGTTAAGCAACTCTTCACTTTAAAAAGTTCTTCAAGAAACCACTGTACTGTGGGTTTTTTTCAGCCAAAAGTGTTTTGTGTACTTTTAAGTATCACTGATCCAAAGGAAATTATACTTGCATTTTCCATTGGGCTACTATAGTAAATCTGGCCATGAACAAGACAAAGTAAATTAATTTCTTACACTGCAGAAATCTTCTAGTGAACTGGGATTCAGGAAGCCATTCTACTAAAGGCATATTAGGAGGAGGAAGAGTACAAATCAAGCAGAGATACAACAGGGAAATTCTTTCTATATAATTACTATAGCACAGTGGTTCTCAACCTTTTTAATGCCGCGACCCCCAACTGGTCATAAGTCGAGGACTACTCAACTAGTGCAGCACCGTTTGCAGAATGGGACTTTTGGCGGGCTCAGCAGGGCAGAGATAGCCTGGACAATTCCTATTGGCTTTTGAAAGCCAATAGAATTAGACTCTATTCAAGAGAGTCTATTCTATTGCTTTCAAAAGCCAATAGAATAAAAGGGAGTAGCACAGCTAAGGAAAAGGGGGGAAAAAATGGCAGACTGCGTTGTTTGGCGACCCCCATGAAATGGTCGTTCGACCCCAAATGGGGTCCCGACCCACAGGTTGAGAACTACTGCTATAGAAGATATTTCAGCCATAAAACCATAGTACAAGAATTAAGGGGAATAGTATAGTAAGCTGTTCATAGGGCTACAATTGTAATTATAGGATGCTATAGATACATTAGGTTATATAATTAACATTTTGTCTTCAGGCATATTAGCCAATCTCCCCCCCCCCCTCTTTTTTTTTTTTTTTTAGAATTGTTTAAGAGAATTGTTTAGAATTGTTTAAGAGAAAGGTGGGCACTTTGCTGGCTGAGGAATTTTGGGAGTTGAAGTCCACAAGTCTTAAAGTTGCCAAGGTTGAGAACCCCTGACTTAAAGTCTTTCAGGGTGTTTGTCTTTCTGGATCTGGTAAACTCACTAGGTTTCTCTCAAAACAAATCTTTATAACGGGGTTATCCAGCCTTGGCAACTTTAAGACCTGTGGATTCAATCCAGAGAAATCCTCAGCCTGCCACGCTATCTGGGGAATTCTGGGAGTTGAAGTGCACAGATTTTAAAGTTGCCAAGGTTGGATGCCTCTGTTTTATAGGATGGTGAGTTAGTTGACTGATCAGAGGGTGAATGGACAATATTACCACCAGGATGGGATTCATGAAGATACCCTCTCAAGTTGGCTGGTGCATATTCTTGGGCTTCTGGGTCCAGAAGTAATGGGACAGCAGTTCCAACCCATCTACTGGCCCACACATCTGGATGACTCCAAGTTAGGGAAGACCACTGTTGCTTTTCCTTGCCCAGATGGCCTTTCCAAACCATCCCTTTTGTATCTTTCTAATTTGCCTTTCCCATTTTGCTGTGTGGGTGTGATGAGCTTCATATATTATCTAATGACAAATCTAAAGGTGCTGAAGGGCTGGGCCTCATAGCCGATGGGGAGGGATTAAACTATCTCTACACACATGTTGGAAAAACAGGCGTTTGCAACTATGCAGTTGGCCAATAAGCTGGCAAGAGCCAGGTTGATCCATAGCACAATCCTAAATCCTGACTTTTCTGGAGCTCTTTGCAGAGTAATGTTGGGCCAAGGGAGGGAAAAATGCCAGGAGATGTTGAACTGTCCCCTGGGAAGTAGTATGGAAAAGTAGTCATGCTCTCTTTTGTAATGGACACCACACACTGTTTTCTTTCCAGCACTCTGGTCACCGAGGCTGGTTGGATCCAAGACATCTTCACACGGCACCATTGTTCGGCATTTTGTCTTCTTCCTTCCCCAGTTGTCCCTAGGAAAGCAATTGACCTTGGTTTCTTTGCCAAGCCAAGTTGGCCCTTGCGGAATTTTGCTCGGCGATTTTTGAACCATACCTGTGATGGGGCCAAGAAGGGTTGGGGAGAAAATGATACTTAGCTTAAGTATTATGGAAATTTCCCATTGTACAAAAAAAGTTCTTTGCAGCTGTGGAACTGTAAAGTCTGAACTTTGAAAGTGGAATTCAAGCAAGGGAAATTCCTGCCTTGCAGAAAATTAGCAGCACAGGTGAAAACATTTGGGATCAGCTATTTTATTATTATTTTTCAAAGTGTATACATATAATCTTCCATTTACAACCACAAATGGACCATAATCTCCAATGGATTGTTAAGTGAGCCATACCCAATTCAACCTTTTTTGCCATGGTTGTTATGTGAAATATGTGGTTGTTAAGTGAATCAAGTCTCTCTCATTCACTTGGCTTGTTGGATGCCAACAGGGAAGATCACGAATGGTGATCATGTAACTCCAGAACACAGCAAACCAGTGTAAGTATGTGCCAATTGCCAAGAGACAAACTGAGATCACAACGATGGGGCTGCTATGACAGTCATAAGTACGAGGCCTGTTGTAAGTCATTTCTTCTGTCCTGTTGTAACTTCAAACGGACACTAAACAAATGATGTATGTTGAGGACTACCAATATATCGCTGTATAAGGATTTGTCTTAATGATCATTCTAAGTGCTTCTTTCTCTTCTCTTTGACTCACATGAGAGTACAAGGAGTTTGCCCCATGCTACCCACATAATCAAATGTGAGGAAAGCAGAAATACACCCAGAGACAGATGCAATTTATTTCTTCATTACCTGGACAAACACACACCCCTTATGCTGGTAAATGAGTCAGAAAGAATCCATGTGAGTAGGACAATGTTTCCCTATGCTGGCCACTTCCAGATGAGTAAACCTCAAATCCCAGAATTCAACAACCAGCGTAGCCATTGATTAGAAATCTGGGAATAGCAGTCCACACATCTTAAATTTGCCAGGGTTGGGAAACGTAGTATAGGACTTTGGGATACAAGGTAGCTCTTAATGCAGAGCTCTCAACCTTTGCGGGTTGGTGGCCTGGAGGGAAAGGGAGGAACAGGGAAATGTGCCTGTGCACCTGCGCAAATGAGCATGCACACACAATGGGGCGCTAGCACTCATGCGCATGCACAAACGGGCTACTAATGCCCACGTGATGCTGGTGGCAGAGCTAGCACCCCATGCATGCGCATATACCTGCATGCACTCGCCAGCCATTCCTGTGGCCAACAGGCCCAGTCCCGGGCCATGGCCCATAGGTTGGAGACCCTTGTCTTAATGCAATAGTGTACTTATTCCTTTCTTATTAAGAAAACATGTCTCCAACATGCTCATTGCTTTTAATTACTCCTACAAAATGCACTTTCTAATGCACAACTCTTTTTAATATATACATTTCAAATGTAGTTATCCATAACGGACAGTTGTTAACACCTAATTTTATCAAATAGTTAGATTTCATGTTTCATCACCTAATTCAGTGTTTCTCAACTTCAGCAATGTTAAGAGGTGTCAACTTCAACTCCCAGAATTTCCCATCCAGAATTCGGGGAGTTGAAATCCACACCTCTTAAAGTTATTAAGGTTGAGAAACACTGCCCTAGTTTATACCATTCTATATGAAAGTTTGAAGATAGGAAAATATGACACTAGGGGGCGCTGTGGTTGTTAGACTGCAACTTACAACATCGAGAGAGGTCCTTGGGGTTCTCTGCACTTGGTTGTTTTCTTGCAGATGTTTCATTACCCAAACTAGTTTTGGGATAATGAAACATTTGCAAGAAAACAACCAAGCTCAAAGAGCACCAAGGGCACCTCATTTCAACACAGAGCTACAAATATTTTCTTTTATCAGTAAGTACAACATTGTCTTAGCAGATGTCATCATCTTATCATTTAAAGAGTATTCATAGGCTTCTTTTCACAATTCCTAATTAAAACAAAACAAAACCAAAGGTGGATCACTCTTCTAGGGCATGTGCATGTAAAAAACATACATGCTTATATGGGATGGTATGCACCCATTGCTAGTCAGTCATCTTTGAACTGCAAAGCCAAGTTCTTTTGCATGGCAAATGGAGTGCAATCAAATTAATTGAGATTAAACTTTCCTGAATGTGCAATGAACGTTAGCACACTCAGGAAAGTTGTTAAAATCTCCACTTGTTAAACTGAACAGCCAGTTGATACATTCTGGGTGCAGGAAAACTTATTACACCATAAAGAAGAGCAGAATTGCAGGTAGCTTGAATAATGTCCAAGATAAGGGTAAATAGGATGTCCATAAGGGAACATAAGGGTATTACAAAACATCCAGGAATGCTCCTGTAATAAATTGTGAAAACTTGAAAAATAAGACTCCAAAGCCCTGTTCAGAGAGAGTTGTAAAAAGTCAAACCACTAATTAAGTGATTTCTGCATTTCCATTTATGAGGATGTGCAAATCCACTCAGTTTTCTGCAAAACTGGTGCCCAGATTATGACAAAGATCATTCAAAATAATGTGTAATGGGCAATATAATGAAATTTATAAGCTCCATTTGAATCAGAACCACTTCTCATTGGGGGTGCAGGAGAAATTTACTTAAAGTCACATTCAACTGCCAGGATTTGAATTCTGTAGTTTTGGGACAAACACGGACTAAAACTTAGTTACCTGTTGAAGTTATATGTTCTCCAAATTTTGCTATACAATTTGTCGATCAAAAAATAAGGTAACTTGGGAAACCTCTGCCCCCAAATTCAAAGCAAGCCTTAGCCAAAAATTATTTAATTAACGGGAAGAGCAAGAGGCAAAACAAGAGTCTAAGCCAGCATGTGTTTCACGGTTAATTTAATCCTCTTACTGGCAGTGGCCAATCTGCTGTTTTGTACAACTTTATAATTATTGGCAATTAAGAATAACAGAATAACAGAGTAGGAAGGGACCCCCTGCTCAGGCAGGAAACACTATAGCATTTCAGACAAAGAGTTGTGCAATTTCTTCTTTAAAACCTCCAGTGTTAGAGCATCCACAACTTCTGGAGGCAAGTCATTCCACTGATTAATTGTTCTAACTGTCAGGAAATTCCGCCTTAGGTCTAAGTTAGTTCTTTTCTTAATTAATTTACATCCATTGCTTGTCCTGCCTTCAGGTGCTTTGCAGATTGTAATCCAGCTGAGCACAAAGTACCAGAAGATCTATACTTGACAGCTGAATCTTTGTTAGGGAAGTTTGACACAGCAATAACAAAATGAAACCAACAATAACCTTTGCAATAAAATCTGTTACCTTGAAAAGCTTGTGATGATGATTAGAAACAGAGGCAATACTGTACAGCAGTGTTTCCCAAACTTGACAATTTTAAGGCATGTGGACTTCAACTCCCAGAATTCCACAGCCAGTGCTGGCTGTGGAATTCTGGGAGTTGAAGTCCACATGCCTTAAAATTGTCAAGTTTGGGAAACACTGCTGTACAGCAACCTTGGCAGCTTGAAGATGGGTAGACTTCAACTCCCAAAATTCAAGGCTGGCTGGCTGGGGAATTCTGGGAGTCAGAGTCCACCCGTCTTCAAGTTGCCCAGGTTGCAAAACACTGCTGTAGAGACTATAGAAATGGGAATTTCTGATGGCCAATCTTCAACATTCATCTGGAAAGGTTACAAAGGCTCACCTGAACTCGAGCTTCAGGTAGGTTGGCAGACATGGCCAGGCGCTCCCTAGTGTTCACATCTGGGTAATGGGTCTCTTTGAAAGTGTTCTCCAGAGCCTCCAATTGTTCTTCGGTGAAAGCTGTACGGCTCCTCCGTCGTTTCTGGGAGTGTCCATAGGGCAGGTCCAGCAACAGGGCTGTGTGTTTGGAGAATGGGGGAAGGGAAGGGTCATCATCGGTGACTTTTATCTCCCCAAATCATTCCAAGTCAAACACTCTCTTCGGATCTGTAAGTACTCTGTCAGTGTCAAATTAGAGCAAGATTTGATGGGCAGTCCCCCCTTTTCTGCTCATCCCCCCCAAAGAGGCATCCACGGAAGGGTCAAGGCTATCAAAATGGCAGATATAACTGAACAATAAAAGTCCTGCCCCTTTCCAACGTCTGTCATGTGCATCCCTCATATGTAAAAAGAGGCGGGGCTTTGATCGCCCCAGTTGCGCCCAACGTTTTGACATCATTCCCATATTTATTTGTTTATTTATTTAAAGCATTGATCTAGCCGCCCATCTTTTAATCAACTCTGGGCAGCTCCCAATGAAGAGACATAAAATCACATTAAAGGCAGTCCTGGACTTACAGATAGTCCTTGACTTACAACAGTTTGTTTAGTGACTGATCAAAGTTACAACGGCACTGAAAAAAGCGACTTGTGACTGTTTTTCACACTGCACTTACCACAGTATCCCCATGTTACTAATTGAACAACTGCATTGATCCACTTAACAACTGTGGCCAGAGAGGTCATAAAATGGGGCAAAATTCTATTAAGAATTGTTTCATTTAGCAACAGAAATTTGGGGATCAGTTGTGGTTATAAGTCGAGGACTACTGTAAAACAATCTAAATGTAGTAGAAGAAGAGGTAGAGCCTGGGGCTGGAGTCAAGAGAGGAATCAGTCTGGAGTCATTATGCTCCCACGAGCGATCCAAGTCCAGCCACTCTTGAATGCCATTAACTCTTCTTTAGTGCCAATTTAGTGCTAGGTGTAAGTTGGCTAGATTCTTGTGTAGAGGCCTGAGCCATTAGTCAATTTAACTGAATGTGTGATGTTGATTCTTTGCACCTGACAACAGATTAGCATGTTGCTGATCCCTTCAACCAAAGAATGTTGGCTGGTGGAGACTTCTGCAATGGCCCCTGCTCATTAGAATGGCCTCAACCCTGTCAATCTTTCTGTAAGGCTTTAAAAACCTGTTCTGTATTCCTGAGCCTGGGGCACTGAATGTGTCCCCATTTCCTGGCTTTATTGTTAACTGGCCAAGTATCTCAGCTGCTGTATATGTTTTGGATGTTTTTTATTGTTTTAAAATGTGTTTGTTGGTTTTAATTGTTGTATATTTTTTAAATTGTAAGCTTCCCAGAGTTATTGGTTGAGATGGGTAGAGGAAGGAAGGAAGGAAGGAAGGAAGGAAGGAAGGAAGGAAGGAAGGTGTCAATGCTGCTAACATCGGATGGTCTTGCTTTGACAACAGATGGAAATGCAGCCATTTTCTCTATTGCTGTTAGAATTAGTTGATGCTGGGAAGGGAAATAGGGATGAGAGTCCAGCTAGTCGTAACAATAATAACTTAGCCGTGGGAACCCAAGGACATTGGGCCCAGAGCTGATAGTGTTTTGGCAGGCTGGAGAGCTGGGGAGAAAGCCCGTGCCTCAAGCTCATTGGGGAATGTGATTTATGACTGTTTATTGGAGGAGGGAATTATACTTTGTTACTTTGTATCCAGAGGAGGGGAATTTAGTTTTTATTTTCAACTATGTAGTGCCAATTCTTTGTTTCTCAAATAAAAGATTATTTAAGATAAACAATGCCTCAAAGTTCTTTTGAAGAGTTTCATCTGTCGGAACCATGACATTAGGAAGGAAGGAAGGAAGGAAGGGAGGAAGGAAGGAAGGAAGGAAGGAAGGAAGGAAGGAAGGAAGGAAGGAAGGAAGGAAGACTCAGCCAATTAAAACATTAAAAACAACAAAAACCTGGTGCCAAATCAAAGTTTTACAACTACCCCTGTGAAATTTGGAAAGTGCTGGCAAGGGAGAGGAGAGATTGAATCTTTGTCATTCCCCTTTGAAGAAACCTATCCACTGTTTTAGAAATGAGGCTTAAATTATAGACAATGATGGTTGAACAAGGTATGAAGGCCATTACCAACCTGACAGTGGCTGTGTGACCTTCTCAGTGCCAGCCTGACAGACAAGACTCTCTCACCTGCCAAATGGTCTGCCGTGAGGACCCTGCAGGAAGCAGAGGGCTGAGTCCCAGGAGTCGAAGGCAAAGTATAACCCTCCAGTGTTTGTTGAGGGGGCTGCAGGTTGTACCCCAGGGATGGGAAGGCAGGAAGTGGATAAGCAATGGCTCCATGAAGGTAGTACATCATGTCTGCTCTCTTTGCCTGGAGGAGGCGAAAACAGAGGAAAAGAAAGAGGTGAAGATATATTGTTATGAGTTGATCGACATTCTTTCTCATATCATTCTCAAGGCTGGGAGCCGGGGTGGGGTGGGGAGTCTGGAGAGAGGAGGTTGAAAAATTCAAGATGGTGGACACAACCACTCAATCAAAGCTCCGCACCCTTTTTTGTGCATCGGAATGCAGATCGTCCTCGACTTATGACCACAATGGAGCCCCAAATTTCTGTCGCTAAGCGAGACATTTCCTAAGTGAGTTTTGCCCCATTTTACGACCTTTCTTGCCACAGTTGCTAAGTGAATCACTGCAGTTGTTAACCTAGCGACACAGTTTTTTAAGTGAATCTGGCTTCTTGGTTGGCTTGGCTTGTCAAAAGGTCGCAAAAGCTGACCTCAGGACACTGCAACTGTCATAAATATGAGTCAGTTTCCAAGTGTCCCAATTTTGACTACGGAGGATGCTGCAACAGTGTGAAAAATGGTCATAAGTCACTTTTTTCAGTGCCGTTGTAATTTTGAACAGTTACTAAATGAACGGTTGTAAGTCGAGGACTACCTGTATACTGTACATTTTAAAAAGTCCAAAGACAGGCAAAAAAATGGTGCAAAACTCTGAGGGAGAAAACAAATCAGGAGGAACTGAATATGTACGACCTGGGAAAGGGGGATATGATTAAAACCTTTTAAATATATTAAGGGTGTGAGTAAAGTTCTAGAACAGTGTTTCTCAACCTTAACAATTTTAAGGCATGTGGACTTCAACTCCCAGAATTCCACAGCCAGGCTGACTGTGGAATTCTGGGAGTTGAAGTCCACATGCCTTAAAATTGTCAAGGTTGAGAAACACTGTTCTAGAAGGTAATATTATCAGTATTAAGCAAAAATCAAGAACATGGCAGCATAACCTCAAACTGGCAGAAGTGAAGTTCAAAAAGAACATTAGAAAAAATTACTTCACAGGAAGAGTCCTGGAAGCCTGGAACCAACTCCCAGTGGAGGTAAGTGGGTCAGTCATCAGTAACTGCGTTTAAACATGATTGGGATAAAGTAACGCATATCCATCATCCGACAAAAATTAATAAATAAAATATAAAAATAATAATTAAAAATAACAAATTAATAACTTAAAAAGGAAACAAAATAAAACAAAAAAACCCTCGAAGGGCAGACTCTATGGTCCACTAGATCTTTTTCTGCCCTCAGTTTTCTATGTTTCTGTGACACATTTTTTTTTTAAATCAAATGGGAGTTATTTCTGCATGACTTTTTTTTTACCCTTTTTGCAGCTCCTTCTGCTGTGGGCCTTTCACCACTGCCAGGTTGTGCTGCTCTTCTGCATTGCAACCCTCCCTTTAGACTGGCAGAAAGCTGTCCCAGCATGCAGTCAGCCGTCACACAAGTCAAGGCAAGCCAAATCAATTTTGCATTCTGCCTTTAGACCAGCGGTTCTCAACCTATGGGTTGCGACCCCATTTGGGGTCGATCGACCATTTTTCGGGGGTCGCCAAAGGCGGCGATCCGCCATTTTTCCCCCTCAGGGGGCGGCGCCGCGCATGGGGGCGCCGCCGCGCATGCGCGCTGCACATGGGGCGCCGCCGCGCATGTGTGCCCCCGCCCCCATGCGCGCGGCAGCGCGCATGCGCAGAACATTTGTGTGACGGGGGTCGCCGTCACACAAACGTTGAGAACCACTGCTTTAGACGATATTGGAACCAGGGAAGCAAACATCGCTTTAACATTGCTACAACTGAGGACAAACTTAAACCTGTGCTACTCGTGCCTTAGGGACAAAAAGATGGCAGGTTGTTTGATCACAGGTAACATGTCAGTGTTATCAAATCTGAAGTTTCCCTTGCCGTGTTGGAACTTACTCCATAAGTTATTGATTTCCTTCGCACCTTGTCGCAATCAATTCAATTCTCAGCATTCGCACAATACAGGCAATCTTCAACTTACGACCCCAATTGAGCCCCTAACAGGCAGGACCCACAACACACCCTGCCTTCTCATCCTCGTGGATGTAATAGGTTGGATGTATTAGGGGAGAGGCGATCCTTCAAATAAACCGTATTATGGTTTAATATCATGCCGTAACTCACCCAACACACTAAAATAACAGCTGGCTTCCTACGACGTGGTTAACTAAACCAACTCAGTCTGACATTAGCTCAGTCGAGCATGTTGTCTGAATGTCCCGAGAGACATCTGGCATTTGACGTGACAGATTCTCACTAGTAATGTATGCTATTCGGCTATCACTAAGCTAGCAAACTCCTAAAGAAAATAGCCCAGATAGTCAATATCAATGGCCAGCAGATGTTCTACCATAGGATGTTCAAAATGAATTGGGAGAAAATGGCCAAACCGCATTTATTATAGCCGAGGAAATTTTCTTCCAAACTTTGATCTCATCATAATATAGCATAATTGCCATTATTATTAGTTTACACAATCACAGGCCAAGCTAGGAAGGTTTGCTTGCAAATGGAGCACAGTGTGAAAAAGCGAGGATAAACCCAAGCAAAAAGTGCAATGAGGAAAGTGCTGTTAAGATACAAGGAGAATAAACAGGAGGTGCCCTTAAATAAAACAGGGCTGGAAAATGGTAAGAAATATAACATAGTTAGGCTTATATAATACAGGTAGTCTTTAACTTATGACCACAGTGGAGCTCAAAATTTCTGTTGCTAAGTGAGACAGTTGTTAAGTGGACCATTTTAAGACCTTTCTTGCCACAATTGTTAAGTGGGGATCCTAGGACACTGCAAATGTCATAATTATGAGTCTGAATGACTATGAGGATGCTGCAACAGTCATAAGTATGAAAAATAATAATAAGTCATTTTTTTCAGTGCTGTTGTAACTTCAAATGGTTACTAAACTAACTGTTGTAAGTCAAGGGCCGTTTGTACTCTTAACCCAAATTTTGAGCTGGTACAAGGTACTGAATCCTAAACTAACCAATTGCTTACCTTTGCAAAACGTCCCAAACCCTAAGTCGTCACCAAGATTAGCAGTAGCCAAATGCAACATGTATGGGAATGCACCTGCTAGGTTTATATTTAGCTGATTCCCTGTGTTGTGTGAACGCAACCAGTTCTATCAGTCTGGGGTACAGGAGGAAAGGAAGACTATTTCACCTCTTATTCCAAGAAACCTTTGGAAGTGTTTAGACAAATTAGTGCCTCAAGCCCATCTGCAAAAGACCAGAGCCTAAAATCACCAAACCCACACCACAACACAAATCAATTTTCTCTGAATTTGGCATGTTGCGTTTATCTCTAATTCAGAAGTGTTACCTTTGTCACACCCGTATCACTTACCAGCTGCAAGATCTCTTCTTTACTCTTTCAGCTTTGCGGACCTGGTGACAATTCCTCTTCTCTTCTGCTATTTAACCACTTTGGGATAGGGGAAAACAATATATATATCCATCCACCCCCACCTCCCCTTACCATCTCATCCCCCGCCTACCCAGGCCATATCCAAGAGGAACATAACCAAAGATGGATTAAAAAGTGTGGGGTTTTTTTCCCCTCTCTGGGAGTGGGGCTGGGGGGCTGGGGGGATTTGAGTAGTCTTAAGCAGAGCTCAGGGACGTGTGTGTGTGTGTGTGTGTGTGTGTGTGTGTGTGTGTGTCTCCATGTGTCCATTTTGTTCACCATTCAAAATGTGGATTAATTTTCAAGGCGGGTAAAAGAATGCCAAGAGTTGAAAAGCTGTGTCCTCCCTGCTCTCTTTGACCCTCCAAGCGGGCCTCCGGCTTCTGCCTTTTCTACTAAGCGGTCATTAATTTCCAAAGAGAATAGAATGGAAAAACTAAGGGACCATCCAATTCTATGAAGAAAAGATTTCTCAACGTTGAAATCTTTATTTGCCTAACCCAATAACTTTTAACATTTTGAAGACAGAGTAGGAAAAAACTTTAAAGAAAGGTAGCCAACTAATTAAGAGAGCCAGAGAGGGAAGTAATGAAATGACCAAGGAGTGCCTTTGAGTTGTGAGTGACTGCACAGAAAAATGATCTTCTTTCCTTCCTCATTCGTTCACTCCTTCGTTCCGTCATTCATCCAGTTTTGGTCACCACGATATAAAAAAGATGCTGAGGCTCTAGAAAAAGTGCAGGGAAGATCAACAAAGATGATTAGGGGACTTAAGGCTAAAATATATGAAGAATTGGGTATGTCTAGTACATGAAAATAATAGTAGTAGTAGTAGTAGTAGTAGTAGTAGTAGTAGTAGTAGTAGTAATAGTAATAATAATAGTAATAATAAAGTTGGAAGGGACCTTGGAGATCATCTAGTCCAATCCCCTACTCAGGCAGGAAATCCTATACCATTTCAGACAAATGGCTGTCCAGTCTCTTCTTAAAAACTTCCAGTGTTGGAGCATTCACAGCTTCTGGAGGCAGGTTGTTCCACTGATTAATTGTTCTAACTGTCAGGAAGTTTCTCCTTAGTTCTAGGTTGCTTCTCTCCTTGATCAGTTTCCATCCGTTGCTTCTTGTTCTGCCTTCAGGCGCCTTGGAAAATAGCTTGACTACCTCTTCTTTGTGGCAGCCCCTGAGATATTGGAACACTGCTATGATGTCGCCCCTCGTCCTTCTCTTCGTTAAACTAGACATACCCAATTCCAGCAGCCTTTCCTTATATGCTTTAGCCTCCAGTCCCCTAATCATCTTTGTTGCTCTTCTCTGTACTCTTTCTAGAGCCTCAACATCTTTTTTACATCGTGGGGACCAAAACTGGATGCAGTATTCTAAGTGTGGCTTTACCAAGGCATTGAAGAGTGGTATTAATACTTCACGTGATCTTGATTCTATCCCTCTGTTAATGCAGCCTAGCACTGTGTTGGCCTTTTTGGCAGCTGCAGCACACTGCTGGCTCATATTTAAGTGATTGTCCACTAGGACTCCGAGGTCCCTCTCACAGTTACTACTATTGAGCAAGGTTCCCCCCTGTACTATATCTGTACATTCAGTTTGT